GACACAGAGCCTATGACCAAATATTTAACTGTTACAACAAGAAAACAAAAGAAAAAGAAAAAATTCAGACTTCTTCTCTGGTACAAAGAGAGGGTCAAAAAATTTTACACAGCTTTTCCAGACCGCAGGGGTGCTGCACCCCTAACCCCTGCAATGTAGGAGGGATAACTGTACTTTCTGAAAAGAAGCATTTCCTGGTTCTACTCCCCTCAACCCACAAGCACCTTCCCTATGAGATTACCTCCCATTTCTACTGTATTATTTTGTGTGTACATAGTGGTTTGCATGTTTCCTCTCCCACTAGAACGGGAGCTCTTCGCAGGCAGGGATCATGTCTTTTACTTTCTCTGTATGCTCAGGACCTCACAGACTTTCTGGCATAAAGGAAGTGCTTAATAAATCCACGCTGACTGACTAAAGAATTAAGTATTTGCAAGGCACTAAGTACTTTGTGCCCTTTCTCAGGTCAGTCATGGTGAATTTGCACAATCTGAGAGAGCTTATTAATGAAGCACTGCCCAAAGTGGACAAATCTGAGGAACCAAAGCAGGTGTGTACTAATCGGTGGTTCCTGGTCCACTGATATAAACATTTTCAGATGATCAGGTAAATTACATCCCTTAGGAACTAAATAATTCCTTGGTCAAATATATGGTGCAAAACTGATGGTTCACAGAAAAGGCATGTATGTACACGTACACACACACACACACACACACCCCAGGGTGCTCAGATTGTGTGGTGATGAAAGTTAATATATCACTCAAATAAACAACCACAAAATGGTTAAGGAAGTCTAGGATTAAACTATTGGCAAATTTCTGTCACACCATGAAGGTGTTACACAGTCATTTTTAGGTTTTCAAAATGCCTGTTTGGAATCAGGTGTAGAATGAGTTTCCCATTTATGTCCTGACCAGGTTATATACCCACTGGGGGGGGAGGGGGGAACATGAGGCCTCAGGGCTACATGTGGCCCTTTAGGTCCTCAAATGTGGCCCTTTGACTGAATCCAAACTTCACAGAACAAATCCTCTTAATAAAAATATCCTTCATAAAATATAATAAAGTAAATATAATAAATATAAAATATGTATTTTATATATGATACATAAAATAAATAAAAATACTAAAAATAAAAAAATCTTTAATAAAAGAATTTGTTCTGTGAAGTTTGGATTCAGTCAAAGGGCCACACTTGAGGACCTAGAGGGCCACTTGTGGCCTAGAGATCACACGTTCCCCACCCCTGCATTAGGGGTTCTTAACCTGGGGTCTGTGGAATTATTTTTGAAAAGAACTTGATAAACTGTATTTCAATCTAATTGATTTCCTTTGAAATTTGGTGTATCTTATTTTATTCATTTAAAAGCATGCTTCTGAGAAAGGGTCTATAGGATTCACCAGACTGCCAAAGGAGTCCATGTTCCACAAAAAGTTTAAGAAGTTTTACTTTAAAGACTGAGTCCTTTGGCAAGCATTTCCAGAGCTCTAGGACAAAAGCTAGAGGTAGTTGAAGGCATAATAGTTGCTTGGAAGCACAAAACTTCATTGTTTATAGGTAAAATTGAGGGACAAATGAGGTCTTATTCCTAGTTTTTTACCAAGATGTGCTCATGGCTGAGGAATCAATCTATATTACATAGCCAGCAGGCAGTTGAAGGGATGGTAGAGTATCTCAATCCCCTTTATCCCACAGGTTTGAGTTCTCTGCACTCCTGAGAGCAATTGAATTTGTGCTTTAGGGTTTTCCTGGGTCAAAGCTATGTCCCTCTGAGTGAGTAGCCAGTCTGGGATTTCCAAGTCACTAACAAGGCTGGACATATCTTTCCAGATGACATTCCCGCTTAAGAGAGAGGTGAGGCCTTGGAGAGTAGAGTGAATCAAAATGGACTATTTGTTTGCCAGAGAATGGTGGGATTGGTATCAGAGGAACCAGAGAACCATGGGGCCTCCACGACTTTCACTTAGATGGATTTTCTCTTTCCAGTTATGGTTATCATGAGAGGTCCTTGATTAGGTAAATCTCAGTGGGAAAGGCTCAATTCATACCCAAAGCTCTAAAGTCAACCATCACTTAGCTAAACCTTATTCCTTCTAGACTGGGAGATGAAAGCAGGTGTGGAAGTTAGTGTTTGGATATATTAACCCTGACTGACTCCTCTCTCACTAAAACCAAGTGGGGTGAAGAATTTCTCCTTAGTTCTGGGAGTTATGGGGAGGATAAGAGACAACTTTCCACAGTGGCTTAGTGCTCCTTTCCTCTGGGTATGCTTGGTTAAGGCCCGGTCTTAACAAATTATGGCACATGAATGTAATAGAATATGACTGTACTTCAAGAAATGACAAAGGGATGCTTTCAGAGAAACCTAGGAAGCTTTATATGAACTAATGCAGAGCAAAGTGAGCAGAACCAGGAGAACAATTTATTTATTTATTCATTTAGTTATTGGCTAGGCAATGGGTTAAGTGACTTGCCCAGGGTCACACAGCTAGTGAGTATTATGTATCTGAGGCCAGATTTGAACTCAGGTCCTCCTGACTCCAGGGCCAGTGCTCTATCCACTGTGCCACCTAGCTGCCCCCAAGGAGAACAATTTAAATGGTAACAACAACACTGTAAAGACAAACCACTTTGAAAGATTTACAAATTCTGATTAATGCAATGATTAACCATGATTCAAATGACTGACCTGATGAAACATACTACCTACCTCTGGCTAGAGAGATGATAAACTCAAGATGCAGAATGAGACATACATTTTTAGACATGGCCAATGCAGGAATTTGTTTTGCTTGACAATCCATATTTTTACAAGAGTTCTTTTTCTTTTGGAATGAAGGGGGTGTTGAAAAGAAAATAAATGGCTTATTAACTGAACAAAACAAATTTTAAAAATTTCCAAGGCACAGCCTAGCAGCTTACCAGGGACTATGAGGCCAGCAGGCAGTTCTGTTCAGCCCAGCTCATATCCGATGTTTGAGTTTCAGCTCGGGTGGAAATAGTAGTGCTTGGCCTCCTCCCTCTTTGTGGCAGAGAGGTGAGTGATTCCGGGTACAGGTGTTGTCATGTAAGATAACTGAATCAGTTGGCTTTACTTAACTCTATAAAAAATGTGTCCCAAGGGATCATTCATTCTGGAGTGAAAGGAAGGTAGCTAGTATATCCAGAAATGACTGTTAGGTAAAACATAACAAACAGGACCTGGGAGAATTCAGGCAGAACATGGAAGCCATGAACTGGACTGAGTCCAACTCCGGGGCTTTCTCTGCTCCACCATGCTTGGACACTTGCCACTGATGGATGATGGGGTGATGATCAGGCAGGGAGGACCCTGGGAGATTAGCTAATTGAAGGGGTCTGATAGTACATATCCATCAAGTATGGTGTTAAGGTTGGGAGGGAGGTATCAGTGAGCTTAGGGCAGCTAGGTGGCTCAGTGGATAGAGTGCTGGGCCTGGAGTCAGGAATGCTCATGTTCCTGAGTTCAAATCTGTCCTCAGACACTTACTAGTTGTGTGACCCTGGACAAGTCACAACCCTGTTTGCCTCAGTTTCCTCATCTGTAAAATAAGCTGGAGAAGGTCATGGCAAACCACTCCAGTACCTGCCAAAAGGTTCACCAAGAATCGGACATTACGGAAACAGCTCAGCAACAACAAAATCAGTGAGCTTAGGGAAATTCAGCAGGTGAGATCTTGCAAGTCTGACAGCAAAGAGAATTCAGAAAAGGAGCAACAAAAGTTCCTTCCTGAACTGTAAGCTTTATGAGAGCAGGGATGCTATCTTATCTAAACTCTATATTTACCTGAGCACTTACTGCAATGTGAACCCCCACCTCCCCCCACACACACATAGGCACTTAAATGTTTGTTGACGGTGGACTGAACTGAATTGAACAAGCTGGGGTCAGCATCAATGGACCAAAATTACATAGGAGGAAACAGACTGACATTAATTCAACAAATTCATCCAAAGATCACAGATTGAACGCATACTATTGTGCTAGGCACTCTGGGGGAGACGAAGATGAGTAAGATGCATTTTTTTACCCTCTTGATTCAGTACTCAACCACCACACTCTCTGGGCAGCCATCTTCGCTACAACAGCATTTGACCAAAATAACAGTGTCCAAGTCTCCAGGATTGGTTTTTTATTTGTTTGCTTTTTTGCTTTTTCGCTAACCCAATTTTATCTAGAAGATTATTCATCAGTAACTTCAATGAAACTGTTTTTATATCTTTGTAACAGTCTGTACCCAGGACCATGAACAGAAGAATAAACATGATTTCCACCTTTTTCTCTAGTTTCATTGTGTTCTTCATCTGTTAACACTTTAGAAATTCACAGAATGCCTACAGAGAACAAATTCTTGGTAAACATGAGTGCACATCAAGTTGTTGTTTCTTTTTTTTTAATCTACAAGAGTCTCTGTGTGGAATGTGTAGAAAATAATTAGTTGGTATGGAAATGTTTTACACGATCACACATGTATAAACTATATTGGATTGTTTACCATCTCAGGAAGGGGGGAGGGAAAGGAGGAAGGGATAGAATTTGGAACTCAAAATTTTTTTCTAAAAGTTAAAAAATTGTTTTAACATGTAATTGGGGAAAAATAAAATAGTATTAAAAATAAAATAACTGCAGACATCATAAAAAATAAAAAGAAAATAATTAGTTGAAATCCCAATAAGTAAATAATCCCCATTTGGATAGTATTTTGAAGTTTTCAAAGTATCTTCCTTTACAACAACTCATGAGATGAGGTGCTATGTTTTAATAGCCACATCTTATAGAAGGTTCAGAAAAGAGCTGCCCACTAGAGAACCAGGACTCCAACCCAGGTCTACCAACTTCATGGATACTCCACTGCCCTCCATCCCTCTGCCTGACTGGGAAGGAATAGTATCCACTAGAAATTTAGAACAGGGACCCCAGCTGAGGAAGGCAAACGCTCAGGTTTGCTTCAGCAAATGAAGCTTTGCTTCATTGTACCTTGTTTATGTTGATGTGAAGAGCAGGCCATGGGGAAGCCACCTTCGAGGTTTCCATTTCCATCTTCTTTAGGTGGGCAGCAGCTTCATTGTAAAGAATGGGAGGTCCTGGGCTCAGTTCTAAAGAGAAAAACATTCATAGAATAAAGCAATTTGAAAGAAAAAGTAGGTTTTAAAAATAATTTAAAATAATTACTAATGGTTAAAATTACTAATAATTAAAATAATTACTAATTTAACTAACTAACAAATTTAACTTACTAAACTGAACCATTAGGACAAGCTTAGTAAATCATTTGTTGGTCAGTTGTTTCAGTCATGTCTGACTATTCACGACCTCATTTGGGGTTTTCTTGACAAAGGTACTTAGGTGATTTGCCATTTCCTTCTTCAGCTCATTTTACAGAGGAGGAAACTGAGGCAAACATTGTGAAATGACTTGCCTAGGGTTACACAGCTAGTAAATGTCTGAGGCCAGATTTGAACTCAGGTCTTCCTGGTTCCAGACCCTGCATTCTATCCACTTCATAACCTACCTGCCTCTAGTAAATCATATAGGTCAATTCCCTTAGAGGCAGCCATGAGTGAATGGCATGATACTACTCAGATATATATGTATGCATGCATGCATACATGTATGTATGTATGTATGTGTATATTGTGAATGCATATGTCTATATGTGTATATATGTATATGTACATATATACATATACACTCATGTATGTATATGTATATATATTTTTGTACACTTAAGTCTGTGTACATTTTGTTTACTCCAATAAAATGTAAATTTCTTGAGGGCAGGGACTATTTCATTATTGGCTTTTTATTATCAATGCCTGGCCCATAGTGGGTACATAATAAATGCTTGCTGAATGAAGAATGGAAGGAAGGAACCAAGCATTTATTATATGCCTACTGTGTGCCAGGCATTATGCTAACTGCTTATACAAATATTATCTCATATGATCTTCACAACAGCCCTGGGAGGTAGGTGCTATTATGATCCCCATTTTACAGTTGAGGAAACTGAGGCAGCCAAAGACTAAGTGACTTGCCTAGGGGCATACCCTTAGGAAGTGCCTGAAGCTGGGTTGTTCTACATAATTTGCCACCAAACTGCTTCCATGAATGAATGAGTAAATGAATCACCCTAATAACTGCTTGGCCTTGCCATCTCTAAGTAACCCAACTAATTTTATTATTGACCTAAGCAAAGCATAATTGGGAAGATAAATGTGAAGACTTAGAATTATCCAAGTTACAAAACCAAATATGGACTCGGCTATGTTAACATTATTACTTACATTTATTCAAGGGCAACTGAATGGAGCCCTCAAAGAACTGGAGAAACAGTGTAAACTTAGGGTATCACCAATTTCCCACATATGGCCCAAGGGTATATTTTTGTTATCAGTGGGCTCATAAGGTACCCACTGACAAAGTCCTTGCTGGCATCCAAGAGTGTAGCCTGGCTACAGATTGCCCATCTCTTAATGAACTCCAAGAAGATGTCAGGACTAACTTGCTGAACCAGGGTAGGCTATCCCTGGAGCTTTAAACCTTAAAGGGCAATATAAAAATAAGTGACTTACATTTGAATGTTTGGGGAATACATTTCAAACAAAGTAATGAAGCCACACTATCAATACTTCTTCCAGCCCTGTTCAGAGAAGCTTTCCTGCTCCCCACTCCACGCTGGTGATGAATATCATTACCTCTACCTAAAGAGAACATTTCCTCCCCACCCCTTTCTTTTGCCAAAGTATGGTCTTTCTGGCTTGAGCAGTTATTTTTATAGTGCTTAACTTTAAGGCTCTCTGCCCCATTGGCTGCGGGGGACTGAAACAAAGCAGAAGTTAATTAGGCAGAGTAGGAGAAGGTTTAAAAGGGGCAGCTAGGTGGTGAAGCGGATAGAGTGCTGGGCCTGGACTCAAGACATGAGTTCAAATCTGGCCTCAGATTCTCTGGGCCTCAGTTTCCTCCTCTTTAAAGTGAACTGGAGAAGGAAATGGTAAACTACCCCAGTATCTTTGCCAAGAAAACCCTAAATGGGGTCATGAAGAGTTGGACGTGACTGAAAAAGGTTTAAAAAACATCTTACATAGCTTATCTCATTTGATTCTCACCTAATGAAATAAATGCTATCATTATCCCCGTTTCACACATAAGGAAACTGAAACTAAGAGAGGTTAAGTGATTTTCCCAGGGTCACACAGCTAGTAAATGCCTGGGTAGGATTCAAACTTCTGTCTTCCTAACATCTCTATCTGCTGCCTCCAGAGCAAGTGCAGAAAGAAGAACATTCCCAAGTTAAATAGAAAGGGCAGCGAGATGGTACAGTGCATAGAGCCTGGAGTCAGGAGCTCATGAGTTTAAATCTGTCCTCAGACACTTACTAGCTTTGTGACCCTGGGCAAGTCACTTAACTCTGTTTGCCTCAGTTTCCTCCTCTGTAAAATGAGCTAAAGAAGGAAATGGCAAACCACTCCAATATCTTTGCCAAGAAAAACCCCAAATGGGGTCATGAAGAGTCAGACATGCCTGAAATGACTCACCAACAACAGGGATTGTTTTCTCCATTAATGTGGATCATAGAGAGTTGCACTGATTCTGCTATGGTTTACATATCCTAAAGACAAACTCACTAAGATGCAATGTCACACCTTTCCCAGTATCAGAGGCAGGGGGAGAACCCCAATGGCACATTCCCTTTCTCTCTCTCTTTCTCTGTCTCCTGATATAGTAAATCCCTGGTGTGAAAACAACTTCCATTACTGCAAATCAACAGGAGTCACAGAAGTTATAGGAGGAAGTTGGTGGCATAGTATATAGAGTACTGGGCCTGTAATCAGGAAAACCTGAATTCAAATCCAACCTCAGACATTTATTACCTGTATGACTCTAGACAAGTCATTTAACCTCTGCATGCCTCAGTTTCCTCTACTGTAAAATGAAGATAGTAATATCACCTACCTTGCAGAGTTTCTGTGAGAATCAAATGAGATAAATTTGGAAAAGCACTTAGCACATATAATGGACATATAGTAGATGCTATCTAAATGCTTCTTTCCTTCCTTTACATTATATAGTCTTAGAGGTTCTCCTGGAAATGAGAGAGTAAGTAACTTGTGTATGGTTGCGTAGCTAGTATTTTTCAGAGGCAGGATCTGAACGAACCCAAGTTAGCCCATCTTGTCCTTTGTCCCCTGGGCCACACTGTCTCTGTAATATAATCTACATTCTTAATAACAAGGCTAAAGTAACTGAGGCTGTGGCCAATGAATGCTTTTCTAGAACTTGATTGTCATGCCCAGTGCAATGACCCACACAGCAATGTGCCTATTGCATCAGCACAGTGTTAGAAACACTACTGTGAGAATATGGTATGGAAGCTGGCAGTAAAAGTATCCAGGACAGACTTCCCTGAGGGGATCCAGTGAGTTCTGTACACTGGAGCCATTTATCGAGGCCAACAATGGCACATTGTGTCCCAGTGGGTCAAGAAATACAAGCCCCGGCAAAGAAATGAGAACGTGTTCTTCTGTAACCCCGAGGAGCATGGAACCTCCATCTCACTCCAATTATTATTCCACTGTTGAGTCTCTGGTACAAGAGGGAGCTCCCGCTAGTCTGAGAGAATTTTATGCTTGGATTTCAAATCATCATTTTCCTATAACTAAGGACCCACTGTCATTAAATAAAATAATTAAATCTAACCATCAAATAGTCACAAGAATGCTGGATTTGGCCTAAGAGGATCTATGTTTGAATCATAACTCTGATACTTGCTACCCGTAGGACCTTGCCTCAAATCTTTCCCCACTTGATCCATTCTCCATTCAGCCACTAAAGTGATTTTCCTAAAACACAGGTCTTATTTTCCACCCCCTCCAACTCCAACTCAATAAATTCCAGTGGTTTCCTATTGATTCCAGGATCAAATACAAAATGCAGTTTGGCATCCAAAGCCCTTCATACCTAGCCACCCTCTACCTTTCTGATCCTTTGTAAGTAAGGTGTACTTTACTTCCCAATTTGTTCTCTTTGATCCAGTGACACTGGTCACTTGGCTGTTCCACAAACAAGACACTCCATTTCTTGGCTCTGGGCATTCTCTCTGGCTGTTGCCCATGTGTGGGATACTCATCTTAATCTACTGACTTATCTGGCTTCCTTCAAGCACTGACTAAAATCTCATCTTCTATAGAAAGCCTTTCCCAATCTCTCTTAATTCTAATGCCTTCCCTCTCTTAATTATTTCCTATATGTAGCTTGTTTACACATATTTTTTTTTCTCCCTCATTAGATTGTGAGATCTTTGAGGGCAGGGACTGTCTTTTGCCTCTTTTTGTATCCCCAGCACTTAGCACAGTGCCTGGAACATGGCAGGTACTTAATAAATATTTATCGACTATGGAGCAAGTCACATAACCTCTTCAGACTTCAGTTTCCTCATGTATAAAATAAGGAAGTTGAACTAGATGACCTCTAAGGTCCTTTTCAGTTCTACATCTACGACTATAATCCATACATCTGGATCAGATCATCACAGATGTCCTCTGCATTTAAGGCAGTCTACCATGAGGAAGGAATGGAAAGTACCTTACATCAGAACTCCAGTCATAAAGGAGGGGGATCAGACATCCAGACGGTCAAGTTTAATGAACTTACTACTAGGGGTTGGGATTCCAGTAGTCATGTCTTTGCTTTCAAGAGGAACTGGTATTCCATAACTGGAGTGGTGTTGGTGCTGGTGCTGGTGTTGGTGCTGGTGCTGGTGCTGGTGCTGATGGTGGTGATGATGGTGATGTCTTCCTGGTGCTTTGGTGGTAAATGGGGCTCCCCCATTTTCTTCAATGTTGAATAGCAGCAGATTAGAATTGTTGAGTACTGGTGAGGGCAAAGGATAACTACAGGAAATAAAAAAAAGTTAGAACTTAGACAAACAAAACCCCTCAACATTCTGTTTTCTCCCCAACTGAGTAACTGTGTTTTCTCATTGTCCAAATGGAGAGGAGCTATAGGAAAGAAGTGATTTTTTTTAGGACAATGTGTCATTCTTCAAGTTGTGATAGTGGTTCCCAACCACTCTAAGTATAAGGATCCCCATATGTGCGTATGTGTATGTGTGTATACACATATATACATATATGTATATACACATACACACACATATATCTATATATACACATTCATTTTCATATGCTTTATACACACACACACGCACACACACACATACACATACATATATATATATATATATATATATATATATATATATATATATATATATATATATATATAAACATTCGTAGATCCCTATATGATAGTAGTTGTATCAACTGGTTAAGGAAATGTGATGACAAAAGGCTGCTATAAATTCAATAATGCTTTAAATGAATTAATATTTTATTAATCACAAAAATGAGAAGGCATGGGGTGTAGTGAATAGAGAGCCAGCTTGGAGTCAGGAAGATCTGTGTTCAGTTTCAGCCTTTGACATGTACTGGCTAGATGACCCTCGGCACTTTAATCTCTCAGTACCCCAAGCAACTCTCTAAAACAGAGGTGACAAACACACAGTCCAGGCCTGAGGCCCACAGCATTCCCACGTACAGACAGAAGCTGAGCAAAATGTAATTGGGAAATATTTAACCAAATAAATAAAAATACAATAAAACACAGATAATGTTAATATATGGGTTTTTAAGTCGATCCTTACGTATAGTTGAGTGTCGCCTTCCTATCTCCATTTCTGTTTGAGTTTGATACTACTGCTCTACATCAACAAAATTAAAGTATTGGTGTTGTTTTTCAGTTGATTCAGCCATGTCTAACTCTTTGTGGCTCCATTTGGGGTTTTCTTGGCAAAGATACTGGAGTGGTTTGCCATTTCCTTCTCCAGATCATTTACAGATGAGGAAGCTAAGGCAAACAGGCTTAAGTGACTTGCCCAGGGTCACAAAGCTAATAAATCTCTGAGGACAGATTTGAACTCAGAAACATGGGCATTCCTGACTCCAGGTCCAGTACTCTATACATTGCGCCACCTAGATGCCCTATTTTGTTAGAATCAAATAAAGATCAAGAGGTAGCATGGTCTATGGAAAGAAAGCCAGCCTCAGAGTCAGAGTCAAGAGAACCTGGGTGTGAGTCCAGCTTCTGACACATACTGGCTATGTGACTCTGGGTCAGTTACATAATAATAATGATAATAGCCAGCATTTATATAGTACTTTAAGGTTTTCAAAGCACTTTACAAATATTATTTTATTCTCACAACAATCCTACAAAATAGGCACTATTATGACTCCCATTTTACAGATAAGAAAGAAAGAAAGAGAAAGAGAAAGAAGAAAAGGAGAAAGGAAGAAAGAAAGAGAGGGGAGAAGGAATGAAGGAAGGAAGGAATGAAGGAATGAAGGAAGGAAGGAATGAAGGAAGGAAGGAAGGGAGGAAGGAAAGAAGGAAGGAAGGGAGGGAGGGAGAGAGAGAGAGAGAGAGAGAGAGAGAGAGAGAGAGAGAGAGAGAGAGAGAAAGAAAGAGAGAGAGAAAGAAAGAAAGAAAGAAAGAAAGAAAGAAAGAAAGAAAGAAAGAAAGAAAGAAAGAAAGAAAGAAAGAAAGAAAGAAAAAAAGAAACAGAGAAAGAAACAAAGAAAGATAGACAATGCTTAGTGCACACAAGTATTCTGGGACCCTTTGTTTATGGACTCAGGAGCCCCTGCTCAAGGGCCCTTGGCCCACTGCCCTATATCAAGAAACAAATACACTCCTTAGTAAAAAGAGTCACTCAATATACGTTTATTAAGCACCTATTATTAAGCTGGTGGGGCAGCCAGGTGGAGCAGAGTGCCGGGCCTTGAGTCAGGAAGACTTGAATTCAAATCCAGCTTCAGACACTTACTAGCTAAATGACTCTGGGCAAATCACTTAACCCTGCCTAAGTTTCCTCATCTGTAAAAGGAGATGGAGAAGGAAATGGCAAACCACTCCAGTATCTCTGCCAGAAACCCGATGGGGGTCACAGAGAGTGGGAATGACTGAAACAACAGAACAAGCAGCATGTACTATGCTCCAGGCACTGTGGATACAGAGAAAGGTACAGGAGAGTCCCTGCCCTCAAGCAGCTCCCACTGGACTAGAAATCAGGAGATATGAGTTCTAGTTCCTCCTTCGCCACTGTATGGCTGGAGTCCTTCCGCCGCAGAGTCAAAGTATCCTGCTCCGTGAGCCACTGGTCTAAGGTTCCTCCCTGTTCCAACAGTTTATGCCTTTGTGCTGCTCAGAGAGGAGGAAGGACCTGAGAACACTTAGCCTGGCTTCTCTCAAAAGCAACTCCCCATTTAGAGCCAGTAATTGCGGATGTTTTTGTATCCATGGGTATATGATTACAGTGAAGAATGCAACTGTGTTTCTAGATGAAACAGCCCATTCTTGTAAAACTAAGCCCTAAGCAATGAGCAATAACTCTGGGTGGAGATACCAATCAAATATTTGCTTCCTACACAGCAGGACAGAACTGTAACCAGGAATCTATGCACCTGGCCCACAAACAGTGGGGGTCCCTGGGGTGGGGTGGGGGAAGGGGAGTGGCAACATGCTAATAGCGCTACTCTGAGTCATTCCGGGAGAGGGAGTGGCCTGAGCCCAGACCCACTGGAATGGAAGGAAGATGGGCCACAGTTAGGAGCCCTGGAAGTGGCTACCCCAGGGGCGGTTGCTTTTCATGATGTGATTAGACCATAAGCCAAACTGATCTCTGCCAAAGAGAAAGCATAGCCCTCCTAGAGAACTCTCTGGCTCTTTTCTCTTCCCCAGTCTGTCACCGTTCTGTTGACTGCCTGTATATCATAGAGAACTGAAAGGGACCCCCTAAGGTCATCTAGTGCAATATCATTTCACAGATGAAGAAACTGAGGCTGAGTAAAATGAAATGACTTTTCTATGGTCACACAGAAAGTGAAGATCAGGGTCAGGATTCTAACCCAGGACCTTTGATTCCAGAGTCAGAGGTCTTTCCACTTCTTCCATGTTGGAACACTAGGATAGTGCTCCATTTGCCCCATGCTTATGATTCTAACACAGCGTATCCTTTTATAAATAAGCACATAAGCATAGAACAGAGACACAAAATCAGTAGACCATATATGCCATCACTTTAGGGTCAGCACTTCTTTCTATATATCTCAAGCTAGTCTTCCCCCCCCCCAAGATTTAAGCTTAATTTTCTTTCATCAATTCACTGAATTCCTCTTGGTATAAATTGTGGGGGGCAGATTATAAAATCATAGATTTAGCGCTGGAAGAACCCTCCGAGGCCATCTCTTTCAACTCTCTCATTTTATAGATGGTCATTCAGACAACAATGATCAGAAGCAGGATTGAACCCCGTTCCTCTGATTCTAGAATTCTAGAAATTCTATTTCTATCATATTGCTAAGCTGCTAGATAGCCCCATCAGAGTAAATTCTGATATTCAAAGATGAATAAATGAGCTTTTATCATAACAAGTAATTTAGATTTTATTGAATGTTATACTGATTTACATGATCGTATACTGGTACTTCACACACACTATGTGAAATTGATCTTGAGCAGCCTACCAGATGATCATAGATTTAGGGCCAAAAGGGACCTTAAAAACCACCAAGTCCAACCCTCCTATTTTACAGAAAAGGAAACTGAGACACAGAGAGGTAAAGTGACTTGTCCAAGGTCACAAAGCTAGTAAATGTCTAGGGTAGGATTTGAACCCAGATCTTCTTGACTTCCAGTCTGGTTTCCTGAACTACCTCAATCAATCAATAAACATTTATTAAGCATCTGCTATGTGCCAGGCACTGTGCTAAGCACTGAGAATACAAAATGAGGCAAAAGACAGTCCCTGATCTCAAGGAGCTTAAAACCTACTGTTATCTCTGTTAGCTTTTGCTACTCTCCCTTGTTTTTGAAGATCTTTCCTAGTCACTTCAGAATTTATTGTTTACCAATGGAATTGTTAAATTTAATCACTGTGTGACTTTGAGCTCAGAGCCTTGGAGTTTTTTCAGGAGACAATCTATGGTATAGATTCTTTCAACTGGTGCTCTTTTTTCTCTCTGTAGAAGTCCCTGGCAGTTTTCCTGTATTATTTCTTGCATTATGGTGTTTAGGTTTTTCAACTTGTGCTCTTCTGGGAAACCTATAATCCTTAAGTTGCCTCTACACATCTTGTCTTTGAGATCAATATTTTTGCTTGTACAGACAGCATCTTTTAACATTATTGCTTTTTGCTTCTCTTCTTTGATTGTCCTTCACTTCTGTGTATTTGCATTCCCAATCAATTATTCTCTTTTTTGTTTTTTTAGTGAGATTTGGCACCATAGATTCAAGTTTTTCTCTTCTACCAATTGTTTCTGCCATGCAGGCCATAAATTCTGCTCTCAATTTTCATTTCTCTTTTAAAGCACTCATGCATAGCATGTTATGGTTCTATGTTCTCAAAATCCACAAAGATATCTGCTTCATCAGGAGTTGAATCATTTTCTTTTGTGTTTGTCCACAGATGCCTGTCCTTGTTTACTAGATCTAGAAGCCATATTCCCTTTTGCCATTAATGTCTTCTCTATTAATTTATTTGATTATGCTTCAGGTCTGTGAGTTTTCTTCCTCCTGAGATCTTTGGTAATTTCATTCTCCCTACTTTCCCTACCCACCCCTTATTTTCCCTTACTGCTCACTTTCTGACTCCCTCCCTTTTGAGAGGGCTTTCCCTGGGGGCTGGATCTCAAAGCATCTCAGCCTCCTCCCACACTGGGCAATTAATCATTCACAAGCCTAATTTTCTGCCCCAGGTGACTTTTGAGGGGACAGAACTAACCTCAGCTGGATGCTGGGCTCTTTCCCTGAGGTTTATTGGAATGCCACACAG